GGGAAAGTGTGGCTTTCACTAATCTCTGGTTAAATCCACTGCACAGTCATTTAGGTTTGCTGGGATTTAGCAGGCACTGTCTGTTAATGCTGCAGAGATGGGTATTGTCTTTTTCTGGTTGTTGTTTTCAAAGCAATAACCTGATGTGGCTTTCCTATGTTCAGTCCTGAGAGGGCAAAGCTTTCAGTGGGGCTTGGGGAAAGGATTGCACCTCAGCCACATCAGCATGGACAGACAGCATCAGAATCATGCCATTCCCCACCCATCCTGCCCTCCCTTCCCCCTGTTCCCAAATACATTCCCACAAATAAATTCAAAAGATTGGTTTTGCTGGGGCAAAGGTTTGAGTGATTCCTGAACTTCTCCCTCCTTGGAAACAAAGTTTGAGCAACTTCTCCCCTTCACTGACCCAGCTGGGCTTCCCCATTTTGGCATCACCAGAGCTGGTCAGTTTGTCCCTTACTCCACCCGAGACTCACACATCTGGGTGAAAAGTCTGTTTCCTGCCACTTCTAAATCTGCTTCTTGATAAGAAACCAAAGCAAAACCCTTTGCTGGGCAGCTGCCTGGCCGAGCAGCTAAGAATAGCCTGGCAGCGGGGGCTGAAAACTCTGCAAGTTTGTTGGACATTATTTAAATAAAATAAAAAGTGCTGACCCAGCTCCCAGCTCCGTCCCACATCCGCCTGCAGGCTGGGGGCTGCTGGGTTTCCCCTTTGCTCTCAGCCTCCAGCCCAGATTACACCAGCACTGCTGCAATGGAGAGAGAAGAGAAGCCCTGGGGAGGGGGCTGGGGGATGCTCCCACCCACCTTCTGGTTTCCTTTTGCCTCCCAAGGAGCTCAGGACCCCCACAAAGAGCCCCTGCATGAAGCATCAACACCCCCAGGCTCCCGGCAGGGTGCAGCACTGGGGGGGAAAGGAGATGCGAGTAAATAACAGGAGGGCAGCGCCTGCTCCTGCTGTTCCAAGCCCTACGTGGGACCTGCTGCAGATGGGAGTGTTCAGAAGCAGCATCTTGAGAACATTCCTCCCTCCTGCGCGAGGCATTTCCTGGTGATCACACACTCCTGTGTAATGATCTCGCAGCATTATCCCTATTAAAGGGTCATTCGGGGAAAGTGTGATGGAAATTAGAAATTATTCAGGTCTGCCAACAGTATTTAACTTTCAAGCAGCTCTTAATTAGAAGCCAGGAGCCATTTATACAACCACTGAGCTTTGCATAAGAATCTGAATAGAAAACCCAGCAACTGGGAAGATTTAGTGATTTGGTTTTTTTATAAGTGGCAAAGAATCATGCCTGGGTTGGAGAGCACGAGGCAGGACCTGGGTCACAGTCCAGGCTCTGCTGGTGATTTTAAGTGTGGCCTCAAGCAGGTGATTTCCTCTCCCAAAGCTCCAGTGATTGCATCTGGAACATGGAAATCAGCACGTGCCTGAGCTTTCTAGGTGGCAGCTTGTGCTTGCAGAAGGGTCTGGCATTTCAGAAAAGAAAGCAAAGGAGTCCTTGCCCCTGCTGCTCCCTGGGGACCAGGAGCTGCACCCAAGTCACCCACAGACCAGGTGAAGCCCTCCAGCATGCATCCAGGCTAAAAGCCAAAGGTGGAAAAAGAGACTCAGATACCTGTGGGTTGCTCAGTCCCTCCTCTCTCTGCCGGTTTGGTGGGAGATTTGCTGCTGGGTTCCAGTTTGGCTCCCTGCTCCTTCTCCCTTGGCTGGGTCCAGCAGCCCAGTAACGCGGGTGCCTGGCTCTGCACAGAGGGAGGGTGGAAAGTCCAAGTCGAGCTCCCGGAGGCAGGTGCTCCCTGCTGAAAGCAAATGCCCCAAACCAGACCCAAACCCCTGTTTGTTTATTCTTTTCTTGCTGTGCTCTCTAACTGGCATGTTGCTGGGATGCCAGTGGTGTGGCTGGGAGCTCAACCAGCCGGAAAAAAACCCAAACTTCTCACTACTGCTCTGGTTAACTATTCTCCTGCCTCCCTCCCTGTCCTCTGCCCCCTCCCCTGTTCCTCTCCTGCCTCCCCCCCGGTCTTTGCCCCCTCTGCTGAGCGTTGCCCTCCTCTCTCTGTGCTCACAGCTGGACAAGGGGGATGTGACCACGCTCAGCCTGCCCAGCACCGCCGGGCACGGGGACACCGACGGCACCGTCTGCCTGGACGTCCCCGATGGCACCCCTGACCCGCACAGGACAAAAGCTGCCATCGAGCACCTGCACCAGAAGATCCTCAAGATCACCGAGCAGATCAAGATCGAGCAGGAGGCTCGGGATGACAACGTGGCCGAGTACCTGAAGCTGGCCAACAACGCGGACAAGCAGCAGGCCTCCCGCATCAAGCAGGTTTTTGAGAAGAAGAACCAGAAGTCGGCGCAGACCATCGCGCAGCTGCACAAGAAGCTGGAGCACTACCACAAGAAGCTGAAGGAGATCGAGCAGAACGGCCCTTCCCGGCAGCCCAAGGATGTTTTCCGGGACATGCACCAGGGTCTCAAGGATGTAGGTGCCAACGTGCGCTCCAGCATCAGCGGGTTTGGTGGAGGGGTGGTGGAGGGTGTCAAGGGAGGGCTCTCAGGTCTGTCCCAGGCCACCCACACTGCCGTGGTCTCCAAGCCCCGGGAATTTGCCAGCCTCATCCGGAACAAGTTCGGCAGCGCAGACAACATTGCCCACCTGAAGGACACGTTGGATGACGGGCACCCAGAGGAGGCTTCACGAGCTCTCAGTGGCAGTGCCACCCTGGTCTCCAGCCCCAAGTACGGCAGCGATGATGAGTGCTCCAGTGCCACCTCTGGCTCAGCTGGTGGCAGCAACTCAGGAGCAGGACCTGGTGGCTTGGGGAGCCCCAACTCCCACACTCTGGACAGCCACCACAATAACTTCGACACCATCCTGGAGGAGCTCCGGGAGATCAAGGACAGCCAGTCCCACCTGGAGGACTCCATGGAGGACCTCAAGGCTCAGCTGCAGCGGGATTACACCTACATGACACAGTGCCTGCAAGAGGAGCGGTACAGGTAGGGACAGGCGGGTGCCAGCACACCCCACCCAGGGTGGCGTTCTGGGGACCAGAAGGCCACCATCCTGGGCTTGTTCCTAAGCATGCTAGGGACACAAGGAGCAGCAGGCCCCACTGCCAGATCCCCCAGCAGCACCGCTCCCATGGAGGATCATGCAATGCTTTCCCTTTGGGGTGGGGTGGGTTGGAGGGGCTGGGCATGTCCCTAGAGTCAGGGGAAGGAGGGAAAGGGAATCTGTGGGCAGGGGGGGGCACGTGCCCACCCCAGTGCCCCTTCACCCCCACCATGCGCAGGTACGAGCGCCTGGAGGAGCAGCTGAACGACCTCACTGAGCTGCACCAGAATGAAATGACCAACCTGAAGCAGGAGCTGGCCAGCATGGAAGAGAAAGTGGCCTACCAGTCCTATGAGAGGGCACGGGACATCCAGGTAGGGGACCATGATGGCTCATCCCCCCACTGCACTCCCCATCCATGGGGCAAGGAAAGGACCCTGGGCTGGGAGGGAGGGTGGACAGGGAAGCTCTTTTTAGAGCACCCTCCAGATGAGGTCTCCACTGTGATGCCCTCACAGCAAGAAGCAGGTAACCAAACCGTGTCCCCAAAATCTTTGTCTGTACCCCAGCAAGTCCCTGCTGTGCTGAAGCACCTGGAAGAGGCTCCAGGTGAAGGGCTGCAGCACTGGGCTCTTGTGAGCCACATGTGGGCCAACACAAAGTCCCTGCTATCCCAGTTTGGGTCAGTTCTGCAGCAGTAGGTATTCCTGGCACCAAGGCAGAGCAGGTTGGGCACATCTTGGGCATTGCATGGGCCAAAGGTTTGCAGAGGAAAACCCCCTTTCCAGCCAAAGGTGGTCACCCACCGGAGCTGTGCAATTAAAATGTTGCAGCAGCAAGATCTATGAGCATGGGTGAAGCACCAAAAGCCCTGGGAGAACATCCCCTGGGGGGCAGCAGCCACTGACCTGCCCTGATGTGCTGCTGTCCCTCGGCAGGAGGCAGTGGAGTCCTGCCTGACACGGGTGACCAAGCTGGAGCTGCAGCAGCAGCAGCAGCAGGTGGTGCAGCTGGAAGGGGTGGAGAACGCCAACGCCCGGGCACTGCTGGGCAAGTTCATCAACGTGATCCTGGCCCTGATGGCCGTGCTGCTCGTCTTCGTCTCCACCATCGCCAACTTCATCACCCCGCTCATGAAGACCCGCATGCGCATCCTCAGCACCGCCCTGCTCGTCCTCTGCCTCTTCTTCCTCTGGAAGCACTGGGACTCCATCACCTACTTTCTGGAGCATGTCCTGTTCTCCAGCTGATCTGCAGCTGCTCCAGGGGGGCTTTCCATTTCCCACAGAGGAGAGGGCATGGGGCACAGTGGTCCAAGAGCCTTCAGGTTGTTTCTGTTGGGTCACTTTCCCAGCCCTCCATCCTTGCTGCAGCCGGCAGGGATCGCTTGGAGCACGGGGTGTTGGAGCCAGGATCTGTCTCTGGGATGTTTGGGAAGGGCAGGATGGGGAATGGGGAGGAGTTTTTGGAAGAAACTGGTCATTTACGGGGTGCTGGGTTTTTCTAGGATTTTGGGGGTTGTTTTTTAAACGTCAAGTCTGTTCTGAAAGTCGATGGGAAGGAAGTTTTCTGCAAAGCTCTTCTGTCAGTGGGAAGGATTGAGCTGGACCAAGCCTGGCTCCAGAACAACTTTCTGTGGAGAGAGGAGGGGGGTTATTAGGGACTGACTTTTCCCTTTCATCCTTGAAGACCAAGATGGCAAAAAGCTGAGTCCTGGGATGGAACAAAAGCAAAGCCCACGGTCAAGGAGAAAGCAGGTCCAAGGCAAATGCAGCAGGACATGCACAACCCACCAGCCTCTCCCAACCCACCACAGCCCAGCCAGGACTGAATGGGGCTGTGACATTGTCCCCTGGTCCCTACAGTGGCCTGGGCAGACACAGGGGACCTGATGCTGGAGACAACACCAGCACAAGCAAGATTCCCTCTGCTGGTTTCCCTCCATGTATTTATTTCCCCCTCCTTCAGCTTTAGTTGATCTGATCTCTTCAGGGACACATGGACTTGCCAGCATCACCAAGTGCCACAGCCTCTGCACCGTGTCGTGTGTGTGTGTGTTTGGGTTTTAATTTGATTCAAGACTGTCCCCATTTGTGAATCAAAGCTGGTAGGGCAGGGGGAGACCAGCAGCTGCCTTCCCAGCCCTACCCCAGAGCACAGCATGCTGTCTCAGATGTTTCTTAAATTATTTCATACATATATATTTATGTAATATATCTATACACACACACATATATAAATATATATATATATATATAAAAGCATTATGCACAGCCAGGTCCTCCTCTGGTGCAAATGGGTGCCACTCCACCAACCTGGGAGGCCCTGAATCAATTTGCCTCAGCTGAGAACTTGGCCCTTAATATTTCTGTGGGGTTGATGAGTGCCCTCTCCCCCCTCCTCCATGCCCCCAGGGCCAAGCTAAACCCCTGTGTCCCCATGCTGAGCCCCCTGTGACACTCGAGCAGCACAACTCCTGCTGGCACATCTCCTAGTGCATCCCAGCAGCTGGGGCTTGAAGAGGTGACTTGGGTTTAATAACAGAGACAAGGCAGCTGAGCCCCAGTGAGCAGGAGCAGGGGCTGTGCCCGGGTGGGATGGGTGAGCAGGGACAGTACAGACCTGTGTGGAGCTCCCTGGAGCCTGGATCATTGCTGCAGGTGACACCCAGGGTACATCCTCTCCGGAGCAAATGGTTTTATCTCCATGAACTTCACCTGAGCTTGCCCACACAGCTGTACAGATTGTGAGGGCTGGGGAACCTGCCCCATCCTCGGGTTCACCTGCCCTGTGCCACGTCCTGACGAGGTGTGAGCTGCACCAGCTCAGCGTTCACACCTCTGAGTATCTGCAAGAACACAACAGCGAGCAACACCATTTCAGATTGTCGGCTCCCCAGCCCCAGCTCCCTCTGCTTCTTGGCTCAGACCCCGAGAGCCCAAGGAAGGGGCAACTGCCCAGCCCTGCGAACCCCGCCCGGAGGAGGGGGGGAGAACGGGGAAAAGCCTCTTTCCCGGCGGTTTGGGGATCCCCCGGCGGTTTGGGGATCCCCGGGCAGGGAGGACCCGCAGCACTGCAGCCCCGCAGCCGCACGAGGGCCCCCGGTCCCCGCCGGCGGGGCTGGCGCTGCCCCCGGAGCATCCTCCCCAACCGGGGTGTGGGAGCAGGGCGGGGTCCCTCCCCCGAATTACCGCTTTAACCCCTTCCTGCCTGCAGCGCTGAGCTGCCCCACCTCTGTGCTCTGGAGGTGTGGAGCTGCGAGGAAGGGCTGGGGGCGAGGGATGCCCGGGGTGGGTGGGGGGGAAACTGG